CCACAACCGGCTCTCATCAAAGCTGACACAATACCACATCTGCAAAAACAGCCACGACCCGGGAAACTCATCTTGTTCTGGGCACTCAGCTTTACACACTTTGAGGCCTCGAACCCAAAGCACTTCACCTCTTGCTGCTACACTTCACACCAACGACTTAAAGACGTTTTTACAGCATCCAAAGCAAACAGAGGAGGAGTGTGAGCGGCGGCCACAAGCTGCCGCGAACCGCCCTGTTTACTGATGAAGTGTTTGAGGAAAAGAAGCTTTTTCACACCGTTCTTCTGTAATATTTAGAAATAAAATTTAACATCCTTTATATTATGCATGTTAGGATTTTAATACAGGCTTTCAAAAGTTAAGTCAATCATTGGTGGATGTTTTTCAAATGCTATTCGTAAAGTTTCAAGCCTTTTCAATGGAAAACTATAGAAAGTGAGTTTTCTCCAGTTGTTTATAGAGAATAGAGCTCTCCCCCTCCCCCACATGTTTCTGCATATGAATTGGATCTGCTTATTTTATAAAGGCTTGAGAATTGTTGTGAATTGGTGCCATATAAAAAAAACTGAACTGAGCTTTTGCTGCCACTGCCAGCCTTTTGGAGAAAGGTTGCAGCTTAAACAAAATTTTAATAAATGTTGTTACTTTTCTGGCTGCAAAACACTAACATGTTCCTGACAAGAAGACTATAGGAATGTCATTATTAACAAAAAGCCATCTAATCTGCTAATATTAGCTTTTACGCCTCTTGTTTCATAAAAAAAATAAACAAAATGGTTTAATTTTCTATCAAATAAGCAATTAGGAGCTGCTTTTAAACATAACAGGTGTTTATTTGTATCCAACATATTTAGACATTATAGATAACATTATGAAAACAGTAACATCTCATATTTTTTTAGCATAAGTAAGTATATTTCTTTGTTTTCCATTTTAAATAAAAGTGAATTATATCATTTTTTGTTGGGTTTTCATTTTAAATTTCTTCATTAATAAGTTATGATCAGCAAATTTAAGTTTTGTGTAATTTTGTGACATTGTTGTCACAGTAAGTTGAAAGGGGAGAAAATATATATATATATTTTTTTTTTTGTTCAGACAAAACAAAAACGCTACTTCAAGCTGGCTGGAAAAAGAAAAAAGCAACAACAACCTTAAAATAAATAAACGAATTTGCAGCAGGATGCTGCAGCATGCATGCAGCTTTCCAGCGTGTGACCACCGGTTTGCAAAGGCAGGCGCATTAAAATTCCCCAATGTGAGTAATATACATATCTAAAATTGCAGTTTGCTATCTTGAGTCTCATAGCTTCTTCATCCCTACTTTTCCCTTATCCAAAGACATCACGCGGGTCTGAAAGGTGCCTTTAGCTGGCTCCTTGAAACAGGGAGCGAGGGTCCCGCTCAGGGACAATGATAGCTGAGGAGGAGGGAGGGAGAGAAGTGGAGGGAACACATAGCATATTAAATCTTGCTGGCGGAGCTGGCTCGTCCACGCAGAGAGAGCCAGGGAGTCAGATCTGAGGCATGCCCTGAAGGGATGGCTGGGCCTGGGGATTAGGGAGGCCAAGGAGGAGCTCCTTGCGCGCCCGAAGACCCCTTCTTGTCTCCGCTCGTACGCAAATGCGTCCAGACATTTTGACGCTCCTCAGGTTTGCAGCCTCAGCCTAAGTTTTCACACACACACGCGCACACACTTCCAAAGTATTTTTTTTTTACCCTCTCAATCACTACCTCTGTCTGACTTGCCCTCTTTTTCTCCCCACTGTGTCTGTTTCATTTGATGTCAGCATATCAAAGTACCAAATCATCAAAGTGGGGGATATCTTCTGGGGGACATCAAATCAACTACAATAGTTAGTGTATGGGCAGAAAAACAAAGCAAAAGTTTGTCACACGCATCAGGGAAGATTACTGAAAATATTCACGCATCAGGTTGTTCCTGAATTACTTTACTTCGAACAATTAACCTTATGAAAGTAGAAATGAACCAATCAGAGTTTTCTTGGCCAAAACCGAGATCCACTTTTCTTTAAGGTCATTTTTCTTTTTTTTCCAGAGATTAAATTCAAAATACAAGATAAGAACAATTTGCTACTAGTTCCTTGGCAACAGTAGTAATACTTTCAACTCCAACGAGAAAAGGAAAAATATACAAGCATAACCTTTGTCTGATTTTTATGAAATACAAAAAATACACCAGTGTCATGCTGATGGTGGAAGTGATTACAGGCTGAAAATAGTGGGAGTTCAGTTCTGATGCATTTGATGATTGAGGGGAAAAGAGAAAAAAAAAACAGATTTTTATTATCTGATCAGAGCCGATCAAAGGAAAAGTGACTCAATCTTTCTGCCATAAGCAAAACTGTCAATATTTACACCCAAACGGGAGTCCTCTGACTCCTCCGGAAGCAAGACGTTTTCAGAAAAACTTGTGAAACATGCAAGATCACACACACTAAATCCCGCTCCGCTCTCGTTATCTTCAGGACAATCAACTTCCCTCTCGTTAGTCCTGTTTTAACAAAAATATTAGCCTTCTCTTTGAGAGCCTCAAGTTGCAGAATTAGCACGACAAGGCAGCTCATTAGTGCTTCATGAATACAAACCTGATAACAGGTATTTCTTCCTGCGGTGTGTTGTGGGAAAACTCAGCCTTCAGCTGTGAATGCCGGGATCTTCGTATTAAAAAAAAAAAGAAAAAAGGGAGAGGCGAGGAGAGGAGCCATACCTCAGAAGCTAATTGCATGTCATCTCCGTGCATTAACATGACAGCTTCTATAATGTTAAGGTCACAGGTGGCCGGGACGATGTCACCGACTACGTATGCAGAACGGCGTGCTTAAACTGAGATTAAATAAAAACAAAACAGGGACGGGATGCTGCTGAGGAAATGTTATCTGAACCTGATTCCTTTAAATCAGCATCCTTAAACACCATTATATTTTATCCTGCTGATGCAACATTATGTAAAAAAAAAAAAAAAGACTTTATTTAATTTTTTTGTGTAACCTCAAAATGCAATTGGCATTATGTTAAGTTAAAATCTTATAATATATGGATTAAAATTGGTTCTAATGCTAATTGTGAACCCTACTTTAATTAATCTAACAGAAATTATAATAATTATATATATATATATATATCAAAGAGTAGAAGAAATTGTGAAATATCAATCTAATTACATAAATATAGTAAAAATATAATATAGTAAAATTCAATGCCAGCAATAAAAATAATATAGTCAAATATTCAGAAATCACACAAGATTTATATATATATATATATATATATATATATATATATATATATAAATTTAAGGTGTATTAAGATTTTTGACACTTCCCTTTTTAACTTCAAAAAAATACAACTGCAAAATTTTAAGAAAAATAGATTAGGCCAGGAATTTTTTTAATTTGTTACCCAAACATTTTTCTTAATTTCCTTCCAAATCTGAGCAAAAGAAGTAAAAGATGTGTTTTAAATAGGCAGGACATTTTTATTGTTATTATTATTTTACTGGCCAAGTGTAATATAGACGATTACAAACCTCACACTAAACTCAGACTGAACGACGCCACATCCTCATCCAGACACATAGAAATAGGAGTTTGTCCAATATCTTATTTGTTCACAATGCGCTCCACCTCATCATTCAGCTGCCTTGAATGATATTCAAGGCAGCTGAAAGCTTCGTTAATAATTTGCAATGTGTCAAAAGGAAGAGTGAAAAAAAAAAACGAAATGAAAAGGAGAGGATTTGAGCTGCACCGCATGGCTGAGCACCTCGGACCCTCATCGTTTGTATGAAACCCGAGAGCAGACAGGCAGATAAAATGCGGAACAGCTGGCGAGAGGACAGGAGGGAAAAGTTTCAAACAAATATCTGCACATGTGGAGGGCTCCCAAACAAGTTTCCTACCCCGGAACGCTAAAACAAGCTTCACTCTCTCATTTTAAAAATTATTTCATTTTAAAAGGATTTGCAAAATTACAATTAAGAGGATTTTAAGTTTAAAAAGTTTGGAGATGTGTGGTATTTTTGCTTGGGGCCCCATATCAGTGACCCCTGAAGGGCCACAGAGACCCTCTCCCCTGTGGAGTGCTTAAATTTCTCTGAGCCCACATGCTTATGTGAAGTGTCCTGAAACATGTTTCTTTGTTTTAGGATTTAATTTATATAAAAAAAATGTATTACATATTAAATGTTAGAAATTTTCCCATTCTATAAAACTATTTTAAAAAAATACTTACTTTATGCAAATTATAATTAATAATTTTCCCTTTTATTTAAAAAAAAAGTGCCATAGAGAAACTTAATTTAATTCTTAATTTAAAATTAAATTTAAAATAAATATTTAAACTTTTAATTTAAATGATATTCCAGATTAAGTTTTATGCCACAAGACATAATAGGAAAAAGATGGAAATTAATAACTGGAATAGGAGATATAGGGCATCCTTCTTCTAAACTGTTCTAATGCAAAAATCTGCAAATCAATAACAGGCGCTGAAATATGATCACACATGCACATAAATATGCATGTCTGCTGCACACCACACCTCCAGCGGCCGCCTTTCTGGAGGCAAAGCTCCAATAAAGTTGCATGTCTGCAAAAAGTTTTCATTCAAAACGCTCAACCGGAATATTGTTTTTGCTTGATTTATAATTGTACTGCCGGAACTCATAAAAATTTAAAAATAAAAAACTTGAGCGAACATCTCTGTTCCTGCCATAAATAAAGCTGCAGAAACTCTCTGGAAGTTTTTCTTTTTTTTTTACGGCGCACATCTCTCTGCGTTTGGATGCGTTAGGAAGCCGAAACCTAAGCAAATAACGTGTGGGACTTTTACTGTTAAATAAAACCAAGCCTGTGTGATCCGACCAGCCTGAAACTCCATCGTTTTGAAATATGAAACCTTTTCTGCTTCATAAAGTCTCACAGGCTCGCTACAAACTTCCCAACAAAGTGTGTGCGAGTTTAGGAGGAAAAACTTACTTTGTTTCTGGATGATTTCTCTGCTTTTTCTCGACTTCTCTTGAAGGAAGGGGGAAAAAATGTTTGCGTTCGTTTTTCTTCTTTCTTCTTAAGTTTGCAGATGTTCCTCTGGAGTTGCCTTGGACTTTTTCTCTCTCTCTCTCTCTCTTCTTTTTTTTTTTTCAAACGCTGGAAGTCCAACTCCAAAGCGGCGCAGCCAGAGTTTTTCCTCTTGCTTGTCTTTTCTCCTCCTTCTCACAGTTTTCTCCTACTCAACACCATGGGCCAGCCGATTGTAATCTGCCGACAGCAGACCACAGATGCGCGTCAAAAACAACAGAGAAGAGCGTGTGGAGAGTTGTTATTACACTTGGAGCATTTTTTCGAGAGGGAGAGAGAGGGCGAAGTGTGGGACTCCCAGCTGCTCCTTCCTTCGCTTGACTCCTCCCTTCGGTTTGCTCCCTCCTTTACTCACTGCCTCCCTCCTTTTTTTTTTAGTTTGTGCACCCCTTTTTTTTCTTTCAGTCATTCTTTCTTTGTGGAAGTACTTTGGATCCGTTGTTGTTCCCATCTTTTAGGTTTTCAGTAAAGTGCTGTATGAGATTCGTTGGAGAGCCAAATCTAGTTAACTGTAGATTTTTCTGGATACTTTTTTTGATTCACTTTTCCAGAGTTATTTGTTTGCAAATGTTTATGATATAAATGTTAAATTGCATCTTGAGCATTTATGATAAATATATATATGTATATATTTATATAGTGATCAGGTTTAAAAATGGAGCCATCAAAGTTGGATGGATGGAAAGTTAGTAAAAAAAATAGATGACAGGATTTAAACCAGCTACAATGGATGGATGGATGAATGCATGAATGAATGAATGAATGACTTAAACTTGCTACAAGCTAATGGATGGATTGAACGAAGCCTTGAAATAAAATAATTTTTGCATACTCCTTCCTTCTTTCTTTCCTAAACCTGAAAAAAACTCCAAATCAAATTCCAGGTTGTCTTTATGTCATCATTTCTCAAACTGGATGTTGGTAGTTTTTCTCCGAGTACAAAATGACCAAAAGTACAAAATGGTGTAGCGACAAAGTGACCAACAGCTGCTCACTTCACAACAACGAATACCAGTAAAAGCCAGGAAATGATGAAGACAGACTTATTTTGTTATTTCCTTGACTTACTCATCTGGTCTGAATTTGGTCAAGAGGTCCAAAGCTTAGCAGTTGAAAATGGACACCGTATGGTTTGTAGGGAACAGTCAGTTTACCCCGTTATGCTTACATTGATCGATTATTTCACATTTCTAGTCTGAATAAAATGACTCCAGCTCACCAACAAGCAGCCAAAAGAAGAAACTAATAAATTAGTGATGTTAAAATAGCGTTAAATTCTTTTCATATATCCTAATAACAACTCACGACAAAATTCAAAGCAGCTTTTTTCTCTTCATAACATAAATGGAGATATGAAAGTTTCAAAATCTGTTGGCTATGAGAGAAATCGAGCTCTCTTGGAGGCCCTCTGTTGACGCTAAAAAGCAGCTCGGTTTGCTTGTGCCTTGGGCTGGCTCTGGAGGAACGCAACACTGAAACAGTGCAATGGATTCTTCAAGCACAATTTAGATCCACCACTTTTTAAAGCTCAAGTATCATGAAAATAAAGTTGCGCGAGTACATTGTGTTTTTATTTCAGAATTTTGCACTCAATTACGGACAAATAATGAACAAACTTACCTGCTAATTTCACTCCTCAGATGCACTTTAATCCTCACACAGCTTCTCTTGTTCATATTTGTTTAACAAGGAAAGACATACTTGTTGGGTCTTAAGTTCACATTTTTATTGGGTTCACATTTAATCGAGGAGAAAATTCTTAGCAGTTATAAGCATACAAAGAAATGTCTTCACAGCTTGTTAGCTCCGTAAACATTCCTAATTTAATGCTTACAAAACCAGTCGCTTTTGGAAGAGCTTGTGCTGGAATCGCATTTTATCCACACTGTAATTTTTATGAATATTTCTCAGTAACTAACTGCCAGTTTACTGCAGTTGTGAGCAAAACCAATTAAACTTGCCTCCTCCTTCCAGATTCTGCTGCGTTTTGGCTTTAAATGCTGAAAACTATAGAGAAATAAATACTTATACGCATTTTTTTCCCCAGTTGCCACCTTCTTAAACCTGTCATGCCAAGTGCTATTTATTAAAATAAACATTGTCAATAAATGTCAAACTATTAGTGATTCATAACATTCAAAATACATCCACAGTGGTTTAGCTGTTCTCTGGCCAATTAAGATTATTGAAAAAAATTAAACCTCATCCACCAGATTTACTACGAAGTTCCTTTGTTGGATTTAAGTGTCAACAAATCTCTTATTTGCTGAAAATATTTGCTTATCTTTATGACTTTAATTTTGTTAATTTTACCCAAAATAACTGTTTTATTTATCATGTAGTTTGTTTATTCGGTAAATTTTATTTAGGGAAGCATCAAGAAATCAACTAGTGTTAGATTTGTTTAGCTTTGTCCAGAGTTTGAAAACTCAAAAGTGCTCAAGAAGCAGCAGTTGTGCTCCACAGTTGGGATTTATGGATCTTTAAAAGGATTTGTTGTTTCCAAACTCCAGCTCATTATTATGTTCCTTTGTTTTAAAAAGCCAACCTGAAGTAACTCAGTTTTAAAGAAATAATCACTGGGAGGATTAAGGAACTGAGCAAGAAAACAAATCAGAATAATTAAAATCAAATTATTTACGCTGGTCATATTTTGCATTTTTAGGTGTTGACACGGATCCGTTTTTAGAAACCGTCCGAATTACATATTTTTCTGGCAAATATTCTTTCCCTTACAAAGAAAACAAGTTTGCTCCTCTTCCCAGCTCTTTTCTATCGTCTCATCTCTCCTCTGCCTGTGCTGTCCCTCAGCTGCATCCACTTCTCCCTGATTAGCTCTTCTGGTTCCTGTGTCACTTCCACCTCTCCTTCTGAATGCGAGCTCTCTTATTTGCGTTATTCTCCATCATTTTTCCGCCGGTATCACGCCGTTTCTGCTCCTGTTCTCTGGTCATTGTCCCGTGTCTTGTGCGTCACTGGCTGTCGCCTAACGTGAGTCATCATAACTTTCCAGCAGTTCTGCTCTGGGATTCTTGTGAACTGTTGTGAAGTATAACATTTCCTGGCCAGAAAATAACTTTGCTCTTGTTCTTTGCTCTCTGAGTAAAATTATACACTCTGTTTATTTCAAGGACTGACATTTTTAGGGAAGTTCCCACAAACTGTTGTTTTAATGCTGCCACAGAATGCTAATGACAATAAGACCCAATGAGACTGTATAAACCCCAACAGAGATGCAATTACGCAAATATAAAAAAAAAAAACCTTAAATTGTTATGAATATTTAATGTACATTGCTCCAGCAGAGCAAATAAAGTACAAATGGAAATAAAGGAAATGAAAATGGCACCATTAACAGTCGGAGCAGATTTGACTCCCATGTTGTGTAAATAGTTTGTTTAAGAGGCCTAAAGCTGTCTCCCGGGTCGCCCTTCAAGGTGCTGCGGTTAAACACAGGAAAGCTGCTCCTGTAGTGGTTAGGTGAGTAATCAATATACATGATCAATATACAGGGAAATTATGTGATAAGAGAGGTCTGTAGGGCACTGGTTCAATCAATGAAGAGGTGGGGGCTTAGGGAGGAAAATCAGTCTGTTATTCGTTTAACTAGGATTTGAATGTGTGTGTTTGTGTGTCAGGTTAAGTCCGTCAGGACAAGTTAAGTCTATTTGTCTTTATTTTTGACACATCACTAACCAGACACTTTGGCAAAGGAAGAAAATGAAGTTTTGTGACTAATTTCCTGATGATTGCTGCGTTTATAAAGTCGGCGCTGTCTAATTGAGGCCTTAATTAGTCACGGCAAGAGATTTTCTGTCACCTCTGTCAACATCTCTGTCGTCAATAAAGAGTGTTTGATTTTGACCTGGTCACATTGGGAGGACGTTTTGTTTTGTTTCTGTCATCGTCAGAGGTCTTCCAGTGGTTTTAACATGCCTTGAACTTTTTCAGTTGCTGTATTTTATTGGAATTTTATCTGATAAATGAACAGGAAGTGAGTATCAACACAGAGGACAACAACCATGCAGGCTCCCACTCATATCTAAGGGTAATTAGACACCGGTTTACCTGACAGCCATGTTTTTAGACTGTGGGAGGAAGCTGGAGCCCCCGGAAAAAACCCACAAATGCTCAGGGAGACCAAGCAAACGCCACGTCTAGGATTCAAACCAACGACCTTCGTGCTGCAAGGCAACAGTGATGCCAACTCCTCCACTTTACAAAAAAACCCTGAATAAATCAACCAAAAATGTTCATATAAAGATGGAAAAACACTTTCCACACAACATGATGCTGCCACCACCCTGTTTTAATGTGTTTCAGATAATGTGTTAGCTGTAGAACCATGATTTAACCCACACTTCCACTGATTCTGTGCTGATTAATATCATCCCCACAGCAAGATGCTCCCACCACCATGTCTCACATTTTTAGCTTCACATCTTTGACCTGTCTGCTATTTTCTTTGGTCTTCATGATGGCTTTTATTCACTTCTCTAACAAACCTCAGAAGCTTTTACAAAGCAGCTGCACTGATGATGTGATTAAACGAGGACTGCGTACTAATTAGGCCGGTTTTTATTTCTAAACAGAAAAAATCTAAAACCATGCACTATTTACCACCATCTCAGAATTTTGCGACATCGTGACTTGCTCTTACACATAAAATCACTTTATGAACTTGTCTAAATTAACTATTACATGGATTAAATAGTGTGTAGTTGCAGGTGATCATCATTGATAGATCCAAACTGATTAGCAGCTGGCCGCACAATCCCAAAAAGTGTTTATATCTGCACGTACATAAACGGCTCGGTGGACTCCAGTTGTGTGTGTTACCACAGGAAGTGGAGCTGAGAGAGGAGACAGTCCGAGGTGTTCTGTAAGACACAGCTAATACTCCTGTCAGTTTGTCAGACAGTGCTCATCTGGCCCGGACTACACAGAGATAAAGTCCTTGTTATGAATCTCTCAAAGAGGAGCCGAGGAACGTGGTGGGGGAGGGAGAGGTGGGAGAGAACAAGAGGGCAAAGGAGGAGCGGGGGAGCGAGGGAGGGAATTGCACATGGGCATCAGTAGGGTTAGCAGCTCCCGAAAGCATTTCATCAAAGAGGGCCAGGATCCTGGGGATTGAGATTCTGCCTCGAGGCAAGTAACCATTGGTCTCCCAAGAACACACTCACAAAGTACGACTCGCAGAGCCAAAGCACACATCAAAAGCACCTCTGCAGCCAAAGCGATTCTGGAGGAGAAAGAAAGGGGGTTCAGGTCCCGTCTTGGCCCTCCTTTAAGCCCCAGATCTCACCCCAATTAAGAAGGAACTCCTGTT